TTATTTTCGACAACTGCATTTTGGGTCGGCAGCCACGCCCTTGGGGCCTGGCGAAATGTGTTTTAAATTTACAAAAAAGTTATTATTTTGGTTGAAGTATTTTCGATTTATGCAGATTTTCTTAAATACTGGCAGGGGATGGGCACTGAGAGGCCGAGAATGTAATAAATATTTGGCGCCAAGTGCACAATTTATTAGCGACAGGCGAAACCAGCGGGCGGCAGCGCAAAATATAACTGTAATTGTCCGTCTCTCTGTCTGTCGCTCAAACCCCTGCCTCGTGCGTGTTTGTGTGTATTGCCACGATCATCGTTTGAACGAGTGAGAAGAAGCGAGAGGGCGAGATGCGAATGGAATCAAGCGAGCGAAAAGAAGCGAGAGGGCGAGAAGCGAATGGAATCAAGTGGCAGAAGAAGCGAGAAGCGAATGGAATCAAGTGGCAGAAGAAACGAGATGTCAATAGGATGAGAAGTATGCGATCAAAGCGGGACAAAAAGGCAAAAAGGAAAGACGAAAATAGAAACCAGAGGAGGAGAGTGTAAAGAACGAAGAGTAGGGGAGCCACGGTTTTGCGACGGCAAAAGAAGTGCAAAGCAAAGGAAGAAAAGAGAGATAGAGAGAGAGAGAGTTGTCTTTACGTTCTCTTCTAGTCAGTATTTTTCTTCTGAAAAACCCATTATGTCGATCACTTACAATATTCGGTTGAGTTTAATCCATAAAAATCACAAATATTTATGGATTTAACCTACATCCTGGAAAGATGTTTAAATTGTACCTAAATCAGGTATCTAAAATATATTTTCATGCTTAAATTGTGATTTAAGGTCACTAGATTTCAATTTAGGTTGATATTTCATAGGTTTAATATCCCTAGATTGCCCACGAATCATTTGATATCAATATAAACATATTTCCTAGGTATTTAGGGTCTTAGCCGTTGATTCATGATTCCGCTCTACTTCAAAACACTTGCAACTGCAGCTCCACATCCCATTTGCAACTGCAACCCCGACTTCCACTGCAAGTCTTGTGTAATATTCGTGCAACGATCTATCCGATCTGACCAGGCCTTTTAAATGTTGTGCTAAATGCCGCTTAATTTACTTGTGGCTTGTTAGCGTTGAAAATTATGGGACAACTCGACTTAAATTGGGTCTCGGGGTCCCGCGCCCAGGGAGGTCTTTGAGCCGCGGGGCCAAGCGCAGCGATAAATATTCAAGTGTAAATGGATACGTTAAGAGAGGAGAGAGGGGAGTCTAGGCCAAGCTATGGACTAATAAAGGACAGATGGACAGACGGACGGACAGACGGAGAGAGTGAGTGAGACCTGGCCAGGCGATGCCATGCCGCCGACGCTTTATTAGTCGAGACTTTCTTGTTGTTGTCTGCTTCGTGTGGCGTTATGGCTGTAGGAGCGCGCGCCGCAAATGCGTTGCCATAAATTTAAAGCTTTTGGCCCGAGTCCACAGCCCCACAGCCCCCACCCATTGCCCCCAGTCCGAGGCGAATCCGAGAATGTGTCTATGAAGACATTTACCGGCGGCGACGACGACGACGACGACGACGACGGCGGCACGGCGGCTCCTCCACTAATGAAGATCAACGAGTCGGAGGCAGGCGATTGTCTAGAGCTGGGAGCCGGGATTGGAGGAGGTCTGGTGCGCATTTCTATGCACATCGCGCAAATATTTCATAAATTTCATTCAATTTTATTAAACACAAGAAATATGAGCTGCTCTATGTGTGTGGGGCGGGCCCCAAGAGAAGGTTACAAATCCCGGGGGCACCGGAAATCCTCTCATTACGCCAGAATTGTAATTAATCTTTTCAGGGGAAAAATTAAAAGAAAAGCGATTCGAAAGGGGGAAATTAGGTAAACGGCAGATGGAAACCGTTGGAGGATACACCTGTTACATCAAGGCTCTTCTTCGCTCTTGCAAAATTTTTTTTTGATCCGGTTTTGGGGCTCGACAAAGGGTTCAGCCCGGGATCCCTTCAATTTGTTGTGTGTTTGTGCTGGTAAATATTTGCAAATGAGTTTGAAATTAAGCCGCTTTTACGGACTGTCCAATTAATTTTGTACCCTTTGAGACGAAAAAAAACAGTATTTTTGCATGGTCTTTGGGTTTTTTGGGGTAATTTTTCTATAGATTATAAAGATCGGGCTAGTGTCCCAGGGTTCTGTCTTCTTTTGTGGCCCCAACTTGGCAGAAAGGTGCAGAAATACCCCAGATACCCAGAGGTCCCTAGAAATTCATCGAAAAACCTAATACTATAGCTTAGATTTCCGTAAGAAGGCGAAGAGAAGCTCCTGCAGTACTCCAAAGGGATCATTTAGGGTATTCGCAGAAGCGCCTTTGCCTAGCCGCTTAGTATCTCTTGTATCCGCTTATTTTTTATTTATCGGCCCCCTTGGCCACAGACTGGAGACCCAACATTTGCCAGCTGACATTTTTAGAAATGGACAACAAATCCCGACAGCCAGAAGAAGCCAGCGTCCTGTCTGACGCCGAGATTGAAGTCTAGGACACTGGACTCCAGCGCCAGCTCCAGCTCCAGCTCCAGAGGCAGTTCCCTTCCAATCCGAACGGAAAAAAGCGTACATAAATTTTTATAATTTCCCTTTTTTTCCTCGCTGCCGCCTGCCTGTCAGAGTCGCGTCAAGGAGTGGCATGGAATGGAATTGGAATGGAAAGAAGCTGGTGGGACTGCCAGCTGTGTCTCTGGTCTCCCTTCTCATAATCCTGCTGCTGGACGTTTTTCCTTCATTTTCTTTCGTTGTGGGAGTGGGGCGGGCGGGTGGCGGCAACCTTAAGCTGCGCGCGGGCGACACTTGAGTGGCGCCATCCAGCGGCAGTGGCAGTGCCAGCGTGTTGCATAACTTGCGTTTCATTATAATCAGATTATCCCTTTTCGCTTGTGTACATGTAACTGTCTTAGCGTCTCTATGTTCCCCCTCCTCCCCCCACGGAGCGGGGCACGGCATATTTCCATCTTCGGATCGGAAGTGCAACAGCTGTTTCGTGTTTTCTTTATTTAAATTATTTATTTCTCCTTTCGAAGGGGGGCTTCTGCCTGCCCCGCTTTGGGGAACATTTCAGGGATTATTTGCACTGGGATTTGGGTCTTATTCGAGTCGAGCAAATAATTGGGAAAGGGAGATAGCGATGCGATGCTTAGGTGTTCTATTCTATGCAATCTATGCATATACTCGATAATAAGGGTTGCTTGAAGCTCTTACTGGTTGATAGCTTAAATCGTTTTCGATTATTTATCGATAAATAAATTATTTCTGTCGTTTCTGCTCAACCTAAAGACCGTTTCCTACCGTATTTAATGGCTCAATGTCTTAAAGATCTGCATTTTAAAACTGGTTCATGCTTTTCTTACCGATACCTTGCCTTTATCGATTGTTTTTATTCATTTCTGGGTGAGATGCGATACCTTGGAGTTCTATTAGTAGAATCTATTTGAAAGGGCATGACCGATTGCCTACACTAGATAGTAGCTTTTTGAAGCTCTTATTGGTTGATAGCTTAATCGTTTTCGATTATTTATCGATAAATAAATTATTTCTGGCGTTTCTGCTCAACCCAAAGACCGTTTCCGACCGTATTTAGTGGCGCAATGTCTTAAAGACCTGGTTTTTAAAACTTATTTTATGCTTCTCTAATCGATAAATTGTTTTCGATTGTTAATAATCGATAAATAAATTATTTTTATTGTTTCTGCTCAACTCAAAGACCGTTTCCGACCATATTTAATGGCTCAATGTCTTAAAGATCTGGTTTTTAAAACCTATTTCATGCTTCTCTAATCGATACCTTGCCTTTATCGATTGTTTTCATTCATTTCCGACCTGCCACAACGTGTTAAATCTCACATCTTTGATTAGATTCCAAGTTTGGGGCTGCTCCAGATGCAATCAGTGCTCGGACATGGCTTTTCCATGTTTTCCAGTGCTTCCCTGAAGCTTTCACTCGGACAGCCAACACCTGCATAATTCGTGGCATAAATTCCCAGCTCTTACAACATTTTAATTGTATTTCTAATTCGGATCTGAGCGAGAGACCACCTACCTCCAAAGTAAACATCCAAAAACCATTAAACGTGTGTTCGAATTATGCAAAAATGTGTTAGGCACGACGAGAAAACATTAAATGGCATACACAGTTGTCGAAATATTTATATGCATGTTATTTTCTTCAATGTGTTTCCAATCATTTTGAATATGTTTAAATGGATTGGGTCACGTCAAGGCCAAGCCCCCTCGAGCAGCTCCAAGCCCTAAAACCCAAGCCCCAAGCCGCAAGCCCAAAAAAGCCCTCATATGACCATGTTTTGAAAATCAATTAGAGCCAAATGACAAATGTAACGACACCGGCAACAGCAACAGCATCAGGCAACAAGATCAAATCGTGTAATATGCCTCATTACAACATCATTTTGTACAGAAATATTTTGTGTATTTGTTGCACTCTCCCGCAGCCTCCTTCTCTCCCAATTTCTCCCAAAAAAGGTGTGGTGGAAAGCTCTGTATTAAAGGCTTAGTTTGGGATCATATCTAATATGTATTCTTCATATCACTCGTTCAGTCTTGGACCTCTCCGCATGTACCTGCATGGTTCAGAAAAAATGGGAGAAAAAAGCGTACAGATCTGGCGGCAGAAACAGAAGTCAATGTTTCCTTCACCCCTCTCTTCGCCAGCGAGTCGGCTGTCCCTTCGACTCTCCGAGAGTCAAGCGCTAGAAAGAGATAGCAAACGTTTGACATGGATGGTCCTCGAAAGAGAGCATTTGGGGTGACGACGTGCAAGGGCTTGCAAGGCACTTGCACAGATTATTATGTGGCAAGTTTCTTTATATAAAAAACGGGAGACATTCCTCATGCTTTACAGAGAATAGCCCCATCAAATATTATCAGAATACCATGACGGGAGCTATGAGAACTCCGTGCAAATATTAGATAGAAAAAATTTATCGGTTTAGAAGAGTTGTCATTATTTTTGAGAAAAAAACTGGGCTTTATTCAAGCTACACTGAAAGAAATCCTTCCCTGCCATTCGGCTTAAAGGCTACCGTTGTCGACGCTTATGATCGGGATCATAGTTGAGGACATCGAAGGTGAGGATCTTATAGAAGGATACCGACCAGTCGGTATCGCCCGAGCGCGGCACGATGCGGCCCGTTGGGGTCAGCTGCGCTGTGGCCGGATTCTGTGTAGATCTCGCCAGCGCATCAGGCGGATGTGGTGGAACTAAACTCTTTGAGAGGGCCGCCTGGGGCGTGAGTGGGGCACTGAACTGATGTGTGAAGGGGTAGCCCGACTGCGCCATGTGATCCTTTGTTTCAAAGTTTCGCCTGGCATCCTCGGTGTAGTCGCGCCGGAAGCGTATGAAGATCTCGGCAAAGACAATGCGATGCGGCACCGACACGACATCGCGAGGTGTCCTCAGCTCCCTGTCCATCCGGCGGACGAGCTCGTTCACCTCCACCACCTCCGAGGCGGAGTCAAAGTCTTTGGTGTTCCGCAGCCCCACAAAGAGCACATCGATGAAGGCATACCTCCGGCCGAAGCTCTGGCGCCGGGCCACCTTCATGGGAATGGCACGACGCAGGTGCTCCCTCTGGAAACGGATCAACTGCAGCCGGTTGTCGTTGCGGGAGAGTAGCATGTCGCGGGAGATCTGTTGGAAGCCCACCGGCGTGGTGTACGTGCTCATCTTCTCGGGGCTCTGCTGCCGTATGATGTCCGTCACGACGACGGCCGCCTGCTTGGAGCCCTCGATGAATTCCGATTCATTGAATTCCGGATCCCACAGCCACCGGAGCTGCCACAGGTTGAATTTCGTCAGCAGATACTTCCACGGATTGTGCAGATACACCAGCCGCGGGATGGCCTTCTTTCGCTGCTCGTGCTCCGCATGCTGGCGGTCCCAGTTGTGCAGGACCCGGTGCGGCACCGCTCCCGAGCCGGACGGATATCCGCTCTTCAGGTAAACATGGCCACAGTTACGTATAATTTTGGTGAACATCTTCTGGGCATTTTGTTGTGCAATTTTGAATGTGTGCGCCCCCAACCCAGTGAAAGCGGCACACGGAACTTTTCAAATGATTTCCGTAATTTTAATTTGAAGTTTCGGACAGTGTTTTTTAGAGTATATCGATCGAGAAAATGTGAAAACGAATTCAAAGCCCACCCACACAGAGATCGATCTCCTCCTCCTCCTCATTCCCCCTCCCTCTCCCCATCCGCCAGCAGTTCCCAGGTAGCCGTCAAGCAGCTGCAAATCACATGTGAAGATCATAAAACATTATTCCACCGATACATAAATTATATTCGAATGAATGAATGCGTGAGTGTGTGAGGGCTGTGTGGGCATTGGGGCTTTTCGACAAGTGGCTGGCCCTTGGCCCCTTGGACCCTGGGCCACTCTCACGCATACACAAACGACATAAAAATAACGGACGGACGGTTGTGGGGGGAAAATGTACGTACGAGTATAAAGAAGTGGAAAACCACGAATGCAATTGTTGTGCCGCCTTTCCGCCGACTGAAGCGAAGCTCTCCGCCGGGAAGATGTGTATTTAAATGGCGCGGCGAATTTAATTATGTGTAAAGGCATTTAATGGAAAATTAAACACCAGTTAAAATCAGACAAAGGCCTACCAACAGCCAGGGGGAAATGTTGGTAATTAAATGGTGAAGAAAATGTTTCTCCAATGAGAAAAATTCCATAATCGAAATGTACGGTATTTTTATCATGTATTTATTTTATTTATGTATTTGCTATTTTTTTATATTTATTTATTTACTATTTATTTTTAATTTTTAATTTTATTTTTTTTTATTTGTAAATATTTTTTTGTTTGTTTATTTATTGATTTTTTGTTATTTATTTATGTTATTATTTTTATATATTTATTATTATTATGTTATTATATATATTTTTTATTAATTTCTTATTTATTTATTTACTATTTAATTTTAATATTTTATTATTTATATTTTTTTGGTTATTTATTTATTTCTTTTTATTTATTGATTTTTCATTATTTAATTATGTTATTTTTATTCATTATTTATTTTTGTTATTTTTATTTTTAATTTAAGTTTTAAAAAAATGATCGTTGAATCGAATAAACACCAAAGATATTTCAATGGAATTACTTAAGTTTCGCATAATTAAGTTTGTTTAACGATTGTCCGCTCAAAATCAATGCATATTCTTCGAAAACATTGAATTCTGGAATACATTTAAGAATACTCTAAGATATTCAAGTGTGGAATCCTATGATACAAATATTAATATACATATGTATGTATGTATATATAATATTTTTTTTGGGTATTTATTTTTTATTTCCAACATTTCATTGCTGGTATATACGCACCCAAATACTGAACTGAGACAAAAAAAGAGAAGAGACTCGCAATGCATATAAAATGTATACCAAAGACTCGGCCACTCCATGCTCCAACCTCCAGTATTTCTAACGTTTTTGGCTTACGAATTCGATTCACACAAACAGAGAAGATACCCCAAGGGAGGGAGGGAGAGAAAGAGGGAAGGATGGAAGGAGGATCCCTCCCAGAGTTGACACAAAATGCGTGGTCGGCATTGGGCATCGGGCATCTGCAGCAGCGTCATCGTCAATCGTTGTCGCGATGACAGCGCAAAACTGCTTCCCCCGCCCCCCACCATCAGAGAAAGAGAGAGAGAGAGATAAGCATCTTTTATGGACCGCCGCATTACAACTGTAACAATAGAATGTCCGGCAGGCAGGGGGGTAGGGGGAAAAATAAATTTAAATTCAAATGAAAAATAAGTAATTCATTTCGATGCGGTCTCCGAAGAGAAAAAGAGAGAGATAAGCAGGGAGATAGAGAAAGAGATAGAGACAGAGACAGAGACTGAGAAAGAAACGCTGGGTGGTGGTGGTGGTCGTTTATCTTGTTGCTCATTAAATCATTCATCTGTCAATCATTCGTTCATTCTCTCATTCCATCAACAATCGGTTGCGGTTGTCACGGTCTTGAGATGCTCTTCTCCTTTCGTTTCTTTTTCCCCCTTCTAGCCCCTCTCTCTGTGGTGGCCTGAGCACACTGTCTGCCATAATTATGCGTATCTTTTCTTTAATTTAATGAGCTAGCAGCCAAAACGGTAAAAGTTCTACAATTCAATCTTGAATGATGGATTAGAATCTCTCTCTCTCGCTCTCTCTCTCTACCCCTTTGTCTCTCTCTCTCTCGACACACATTCTTATGCAATGCATATTCATGCAGTGTATCTGCTAGATACGAGTGCTCGGTGTGTACATTCCACATAGCTTTTGTCTTTTGTCGATCGTTTTGAATTTCACACAAAGACAGCCCCTCCCCCCGCTCCCGCCCCCGCCCCTCGTTAGCATAAGCACAAGAGTATCTGGTGCGGTGGATTTCCATACGAGAGCATATATTCGTATCTTTTGGATATGCCAAGCCATAGCCTGTCGTACCTGTCAGTCGATTCAGGTTAAATCAATCATACAAAAGACTTCGAAACGGAGACCTGTCAACACGGTTCATTGTTTGCGGCATTTAAACCCCCTCCCCCCCTCCTCACCCGCATGTGGCATGTGGCATGAGGCATGGGGCATGCTATCCTGTCCCCAGGCCAAGCCATGGCTTGTAAATTTATGCGCGCGTATCCCACAGATACTTCGTGCAGTTATTTGCATTTTTTGCTATTGTCTTTGGCCACATACTACACATGTATCTCATAGATACAGATACCCTCTCGTACGTATTCATACGGGTGGTCATTTAGCATATTTTTCCTGATATTGAGATTTATTGACAAGATTGAAACGTGGCCGATACGACGCTTTGTCGGCACCGCTGCACAATCTGGTGTGCTGCCTCCTCCCACCCACGCGGACAGCGGATGTGTTGCCTGCTTCTTTTTGGGGTGCCCCATTATGTCAAAATGTTGTCTCAACTTTGGAATTAATTGAGTTTTTCCCATCCCCCCCCGCACCCGAAAATATTGGATTACATTAGGCGCCCGTTTAGGAAATTTGACCACAAAAAAAAGAACCAAAGAGCTGCTTGGCCAAGAGAGGGGTGGGGTGCCTGCTTAGCCTAGAGGGGGGTCGGGTGGGGTGCCTGCTTGGCCTAGAGAGGGGTCGGGGTGGTGGGTGGCTGGCCAAGAGAGCGTGCCATTGGAACAATGCCAAGTGCACGGAATGGTAGGAAATCTATAGGCGCGGAATGTGGTCGCGTCATTGAAATGCGATACAGCCACCAAGGAAGGACAGGCACAGGTGGGGAGGGGGCACAATGATCGTGAGGAATTGCTCATGATTTCCCTGTACACTTCTAGGGTTTCCACAAGCCTGGCCGGCGACCTGTCATTTCCACGTCGCTTTTGCGGTGTTTCTTTAGCCCTGGCGCGCAATTTGTCTGGCAAATCGATCATCGCCACTGGCGGCGGAAACACATCGAGACCCAAGCGAAGCGATCCGCTTGAAGTCCGAGGTCAGGTCTTCCTTCCACTTTGATTGACTCGTAATTGAATACTTTCACGAATTCTCTCTCATCATCAGATCCTTTGACTGTGATTGCCCTTCCACGTGAGTCACTTGGAATTCCAGCTCCACCCGCCCCATCTACCCATCTACCCATCTATCCATTTATCGTTTTGTTTCGTTCGACACCTAAAACTGTCAGCGCAGAGTCGATCACGTGATTTGCCTACCATATTGCCACTTGGCCAGGGAACCTGTCAGGCCGTGACAGCTCCTCCTCCACTTGTCGCCGCCTGTGCGGCGTTGGCGTTGGCGATGGCGATGGAGCTGTCGCCCGTCTTCCAAGAACTGTCTGCGGACCTTGCACCCCATCCGAACCGAATCGAACCCCATGAGAAACTGGCCAATTGTCTTTATTTATGGGCCTAGATTCCACGTTCACTCTTCACCGATTCAGTTTGCGTGCCACTCATCAAGTGCCACCCAAAAACAACGGGGCGGGACACCCCCCCCAAAGTCCAAGAGAAAATTACTGAATCTGGAATACTCTTCTTTTTCTCACATGGAAATTGTACAGAAAATGGCATTCCCTTATGGAAAATGCCTTAAACCGATCCTCACAGCCTTCATACCCTCTCTTTGTGCACATTTATAGGGTATATCCATGGCTGGACTTGTGGGCGGTCAACTTGGGCTACGAGTCTATAATGCCAATGCGATCCCCCGCACCCTCTCTATGTGTGGACTCTCTCTCCCACGTCATTAAGACATCTTCTTGGGCCATAATTCACCCCAGAGCAGGGCGGATTTTCCAACTGCATTACCCACTAACCCAGATACAGCGGGAGAGAGAGCAAAGACATCCAAGCAGACCCAAAATAAGCAAAGTTCAGCCCACAAAGGCCTTTTCCAGTGGGGGTTTCCAGGTTTTTGCTTTTTTCAAAGTAAGTCGCACAATCATGAACAATATATAAGAGTATATAAGTACTACTAATACATACGTATGTCTACCCAAGTGAGAGAGCGAATAAAAACTAAAATGCTCAACACAAAAGGTATATTCCAGGGAGGGTAAGGCCCAAAGACAATATAAATAGTAACGCCCTACAAATGTTTTGTCATCGGAGCTCGCTCCAGAGTTGGCTTCAGAGCTGGCTCCAGAGGTGGCTCCAAAGCTGTCGTCAGAGCTGGCTTCGGAGCTGGCGTCAGAGCTGGCTTCAGAGATGGCTTCAGAGGTGGCTCCAGAGTTGGGTCCAGAGCTGGCTTCAGAGGTGGCTCCAGAGCTGGCTCCAGAGCTGGCTCCAAAGCTGGCTCCAGAGCTGGCTCCAGAGCTGGCTGAGTCAATCATAGAAGGGTTTTCAAAGAAGAAAACATTTCATTAACATGTTTTAGGATCTACATGTAGATCTGTCTTCTACCTCAAACCGGGTGGACTTCGTCTCTTCCAAAATACGTCGCTGCCTATGACCTTACCCTTCCTTTAGCGTACCCTGTCAGGCCCTTCCGCGCCTCGCGACCACAAGAGGAAGATGCAAACAAAGCCCAGAAATGCCGGAGTGAGCGCGCCCCGACAGTAGCCAAAAAAAAAACCAACAAAAAATAATAAAATAAAAA